GCTGTTTTGTGAATCCATCAAAGAAAATATTTTTATTTACAATTTATCATGTGATCTACGTTAATCCTTACTTTTATGAAAAATTTATATTTTGACGTAATACGTGTTTGTAACAAATAACAATAAAAAAATATTTTTTCATTACATTTACATCTTGCAGAAGAAAGTGAAGTTAAATTTTGTCAACGAAAAGTTCATTAATTGAATCTTCAACTTAAAGTTTAATGTAGGTACGTACCCATCCCTTTACAATATTATTTACATTATTAAAATATTTATCAATAATGTTTGATTTAAATGCATCTGAATTTTAATGGACTCCTCTCATCTTGATCCTAAGTTTATACTATTGATTTTTTTAGGTAATTAATGATATAATAACATTAATTACAACAATAATATAATTCAAGGGCAAGTGTTTTAAGGATGGTGGTGGTGGTGGTTATCGCCTACCACTTGTTGTTACTCTAGTTTATAAATTAAGAAATACCAAATTTAGCAAAATTCCTGACTGTATTTTTTTTCAAAAATGTCTACGTACAAAAACTTAAGAAGCAAAAACAAAGATCATGGGGAGGCATTTGGCGGGTAAGTGTTTTGAGAAGGATGGTGGTGGTGGTTATCACTCACCACTTGTCATCACTCTAGTTGCATTTCAACTGCTGCTGCCATTCTATACTTATCAAAAAATTTATCAATATTAATGATAGTGATTCAGAAGCTGCTGATATTCAAAATGTGGTAAGTAATAAGTAAAAAAAAATTTCTGAATAGTTAAAGTTGATTGCTTTATTTTTAATGATCACAGGAAAATATTCCACCCTCACATGAAAGTGTCTTTTTAAATCCATTAAAACATTTAAAAAAACAGGAAAAATTTAGAGATTTGATTCATTCACTTGAAGAAAATAATAAAAAATCTAAAGATATATTTGAAGAGAGGTAATGTGTCAACTTTTATTTTGTGCAATATTCATAAGGTAATTTATTTCATTACTAATACATTGTTCAAATGCAGCCCTTTATGGAGAAAAATTGCGAATCTGTCACTACCAGTTGAAGGAGTAAAAGAGATAAAATTTGATCCAAAAAAAATTCTTACAAATAAAGAATTTCAGAATTAGAAAAATTTGTAAATCCAATCCTTGTAGGTAAAGAGTGGTTAAATATTAGTGAACAGCCAAATGGACTATTGGAAGCATTTTCAATGGTGAGAATATTATAATAAGTGATTCAAATTGTCTTGATAGTTTCTTTAAACATGTATTAATGCACTAGATCTATACATGAAGTTGAAATTAAAACCCCAAAGTTGAAATGTTTCAACTTGAGGCAACTACATAGTAAAAATCAGTTT